ATTCTGTTGTTGTGAAATATGAATAGAAGCATTAAATATTAACAAAATACATTAAATTTTAAAAGAACGTCATGTCAGTGCTGCCACATTTCTGAATCAGCATAAACATACAATATATTCCTGTCGTTGTTTGTATAATCAAAATCTAGATTTGGCCAGTGAAACGACTCTCTGACAGAATACCTAAGAAGATGTATTTAACAGACAGCACTGTGCATTTGAGGTCGACTGAGCTAAAAGGAGAGAGTGAAGTGGTGCATAGCAAATGAAAGCATTATTGGTGGTGAATATGAGACCCAGGCTGCGGTAAACTAGGCTCTGCATTCTACTGTCACAGCCTTTCCCTGTTCTTTTTAGGATGGCCTAGTTTCATTGTAAAGACTTTACCCACCTCCTCACACTTTTTTTTTCTCCCCAGAGGAAAACACATTACCACAGTGTCTCTCTTTAACCTGGGGAGCTCTACTTACAGCACTTATCTGGTTCTTCATCTTCCCTGGGGCTCAATTAGAAATATTGTTCAATGGACTCCTCAGTCAAGATGATGACGTGTTGAGCGTTACAGAGGAGTCTGTTTTCTTTAAAACCTTAACCTCTGACTTGAAATTGCAAATGATATCTTCATGTCCCAATGAAATCAGTAAAATAAGCAAGTAAAGCAAGTAAAATAATGCTTCTGGCAGAGTGGAATGAATTAATGAAACTTGGTTGGCATTTCTAGTCAAGTACTGGCTGTCAGAGCAGTGTGGTATTTTTCTTTTCTCTAATTTCTTTATTCTTTATTTACAATATGCAAATCTAGTATTAATGCTGATAACATATTCACACTTTTTTAGTCACATTTTTGCCATTGCAGAGAGAATGGAAATAAAGTAACTTTCTGAAGCATTAAACAAAAAGTGAAATGATGGTGCAGCACATGCATCAGTGCAGCCTTGGTTACAATGTTGCATGCAACACACTACAAAAACAAAAAAACTGCAGTGTAACACATTTTGGTGAGTATATTCAACGTTTTGCTTTTATACAGTGACTGCATTATCAGAACATTACTCCTTTGATTGCGCAGTAACTGCAGGATATTCATGAGGTACTGTTTCCTAGCAACATAGCGTATGCACTGTGTACTGTATGAGCTATAGTAGCATGTCTGTGATCACTAAGACAAAAGATGAATGAAATGTTAGGGGAATGTTTAAAGAAATGGGACAGACAGCTTTTCAAACATTTCCAGTTTATTTTTGTTAAACGCTGGTATTTTTATTTGTTTTTAATACACGCATTCATTTCTGTTTCTGTCCACAGTGAATTGGTTGAGCCTCTTCGACTGACGCTGCCTCTAGATCAGGCTTTTTACAGCAAAGCAGCCCCGGTCAGTGTTGCATTTGTGATGGTATACAATAGCATAGCTGCACAGCTGAGAGAGCCCAGTCACGGGACCCCAGAGAGAAAGCATCACTGCATTGCTTCTCTCAAATCCTGCTGTATATTGGTGCTCAATTCAAGACAAATGTGCTCCTGCACTCATTCTGTCACCTGAGGGCAGTTGTATTGTATTATTCTGAGGTACACACGGGAGCGGACTAGTGAATAAACATTTTATCGGCTCAGCTATTCATACTTGCATGAGGATTGTCTCAGCTTTGGCACTTCACTTCCCATCCACTGCAGTCAGATCCAGTTTAAATGCTTAATGAAATGTTTTTGATGACTAAAACCAAATTATATTACTTTTGCAGTACTTTTCAGAGCAAAGACAGATGGCTTGCATTTACACATTTTAAAGACTTGACATGGTTCAATTGGAAGTGAGGCAAGATGATTTCAAGAACATAAGAAAGCATTATTGCTTGCTCTATGATCCAGTAGTCAAATGGTGGGGTTTGCATAGACACTGTGTTAATATTTTTCCCTAGTGTGTGAGTAGCATTGAAATTCATTTATTCCACTATTCTAAAGCAGCTGTCTTTTTTTTACTAAGATCACATAATGCTGAGGAGAGATCTATATTCAAAACGGAAGCTTACTTTCTTGATTTTGCTGTCACTTTTCATATCATGAGACCACCTCATCAGAGATGTAGTTGTACATTTCTAGTGTATCATTAGCCTGTGTTGATAACCCCCTCAATGCTTATCTGAGTATTTGTATCTCCCTGTCTGCAATAACACAGTTGAGCAGATTGCACTCAATCGCTCGACAGTTGTGTCGATATGGCCACCCACACGATTTATTTTCTTGAGTGTATTTTGCTGCTGTGCTGCCGAACAACATCTCGAGTTGTCCCAAATATTGTTCTTTCAGAGTCAGACGCATTGAAGCAAGGACAGGCCAGCTGTTGGCAGAATAACACATTCACACTCGCATGTCTCCTGCAAAGTTGGGACGAAAGTCCATAGTTTCAGACACCCAAGTCTTTGATGGGCTGAAGATTCTGATTGCACCATCATTTGAAAAAGTCATTAAACTAGGTTTATTTCTTTTTGTCTTTTGTATCAATCATGAATTCAGCTATTATAAGTTCTATTAGTCAGACATCATATATCATCCACATAACTATCTCTCTAATAAACACTTTGACTGTCTCAACAAAGGTTAAATCTGTCTACTTCGAGTTTGGTGGATTTGTTGTTGAGAACCAGAATAAGTGTTGAGTTCAGTTGTTTGGTGCTGAGTGCTGATCTTATTTTTTGGGCTGTATTCTACTGGAACTCAGTGGTTAGAGCATTTAACTCCTGCTGCAAGATATCATTGCCACTGGCAAATGTTTGATGTCAGGAATATTTTGTTACCTCAAAGATAATGTCACACTTAGTTCACTTAAGTGTACTTATCTATTTGCTTCTTACTGTATTAATTATATGTATTAGGATGACATTTGTTAAAGTAGTCTGATGGGGTGAGCCAGAGACAATCATTATCTTGACACCATTATGACAAAATAACTTGTCATGGTCCTGCGTCTGTGACCCAGTGTTTGATTTATATTCTTTGTTTTAGTTGTATTACTCATTCTGTTTACTTGCCTCCCCTATGTCCATGTTCAGTGTGTTGTCTGTCCTGTCTTTCATGTATGTTAGTTCTGTCGCCATGTTTGTTCATCTGTTTTCCAGTCGTGTCTCTCACCTCTTCTGTTTTCTGTATTCAGTCAGTCCGTCTTAGTGTGTGTCCCATGTTTCTGTTTTTACTTTGATAGTCTCCTGTCCTGTGTGCATTACGTTCAGTCTTGTTTCTGTGCTGTTAATCTGATTAGCTCCAGCTGTGTTTCCCTCCTGTTTCCCATCCCTTCGTTATCCTCTGTGTATTTAACTCCTCTGTATGTTGTCACGTTTTCCACATTGCTGTGTGTTTCCCCAAGCTCCTCAGTTTTGCTCATTACTCTTAGTTTTCTCCTAGCTCCTAGTTTCTTAGTTCAGTTTCCCAGGTTCCAGTTTAAGTTTTGTTTCCTTGTTTTAGTGTTTGGTCCTACAGCAATAAAAGCTGCCTTCCTTAGTTAATACCTTTGTGTTCTAGTCCTGCATTTGGGTCCTACCTCTGCTTGCTCATAGCACATCCATGACATCATCAGTCAACAATTACGTTACTGTATTTGATGCAGTAATGTAGTTGTTCAAACATACATTTACAATAACACATATAGCTCAAGATTGCTCTGGTGGCAGGCATTGCAAAAGTCCAATTTTGTTTGCTTTTCTTAGAAAACACAAAACATAAAAATGTAGATCTGATTGTCTGCAGTTGGCTGTGTTTTATGGAATATTACTGCCACCACTTGCTGATAAGCAGAACAGAATCAAAAAGGAGAGATCCACTTTCAGACACATACATATTGCAAACTGTGTTTTGGTGCTAAATATGTAAAATCATTTATGTCATGAACTGATAAACTAATGCAATTCTCACCATATTGTTGGTTTGAATTTAGCAGTATATCAGGATTAGTGATAATGATTCCAAACAGCATGTAGTGTACCACTGATTCATTATGATCACCTCCCATTTGCTGTGCCCTTCTTCAGCTGTTTCACATTAAAAGTTTGCAAACTGAAGTTTTTACCATTTAGAAGATACTGCAGTTTTTGAATTGAATGGTTGTTTTATCAGTTGTAGTTTAAATGTATGGATTTACTGAGGTCTGGTATAGGGTGTCAAGTTATGTAGATCAGATCAGTCTTATTACATACCTGCACTGTTGGTGAAGTTAAATGAATTGTAATAAACATTTGGACAGTGTATGCTTATATCTTGTGTTTTTAAAAGCATGAGAGATGTACAAACATGTCTTGTGATCTACTTTTTGGATCATCTCCAGTAGTCATTAGAAAACCTACTGAGATGGAGGACTGATTGTTGATGGGTTTTCTTCTAGATCTATTAATAATGATGATTCTAATAATGTGCTGATAATGTACTGAAGTGCGTCATTTTTTCTGTGCTCTGTTTCTTCTTGCTCTTGCTATGCAATGACTGTTATTTTCCAAGCCTTTTGTTGTATTGTGGGCTCACACTATCAGGGAGGCGTGGAGAAGATGATAGATGCAGAGAGCTTTCTGCATGCAAAAGCCTTGGATGCAAGTAGGGGCTCCCCATTCATTTAAAATAATTTCATGTTTCCTTCCACCAACTCTGTGTCCTTCCAGCACTATTATCAGAGCAATTGTGGCAACGTGTTATTCAGAGGATGGCACCCATTGTCTTATTTTCTTCAGGGCGGACAAACACTTTACATTGGGAACAAAGTACACACTCACTCACACAGAAGTGCTGCCAATCATTTAGCTAGGGATATTGTAAGTTTGCTAATGTATCATTTTCTCTCTTTTCTTTTTTTAAACTCAAGCAACATATGTACAAGACCAGACAGGAACCGTTAATGATTAACCTGTTGAAAAACTGAACAAAGACAAAAAATAATAAACAAACCAATTTTCAACTTTCTTGAATTACAGAAATGTGAAAATGGACAATGATGTTTTAAAACATTTTTAATAGAAATAAAATTTTGTATAAAAAAAAAACTAAACATGCTTCACACACTTCATTAGTTTTCATGAGGTTTAACAAATACATAGCTAGCCAGGCACTGTATCCTTTTGTATTTTTTCCCCAATTTTAAGATATGTCAGGACATAAAGCAGACATCATCAATCTATTTAATAACATACATTAACTTACCATTTAATTTGGTCAGCACTCACATTTTATTCTGCAACACAAATGGTGTTGAAAGTAATACAGAGGGAGGCATGAAAAGCAGCATTGAATTCACAACACAAATGACCCCACAATATTTTCCCCAAGACAATAGAGGGCTTTTATACTGCACGGAGCCAACCCTTAATCTGTTCTGCCAACTCGGAGTGTTTGATAGAGATATTGTATAGTTTTGCAATTAGAATTTCATTTGCTAAAATGCCTTACAACTTCCTGACACCTCCTCCTTATCACAAGAGTGCCTGAAGAGGACATGATTTTTTTTTTCAGTAGCTGGTCCATTATGGATATCACCTTCAGGGTATATTGCATGATCCTCTCAAGGGCATACTTCATCTTAATTCCCCTACTAATGGATCTGTACAGCTAAGCTTTACCCTTACACTATGAATGTGTGAGAATAGCTGGTGGCAGTGGTGGTAGGGTCATCCTGGATAACAGCTCACAGTGAGATCTCCTGGCTAAAACACTGTTTATTTTAACCATGAGCCACTGTTTCAAAGCACATACAGATATGCAGAGGGCAGTGGCAGCCTTGGGCTAGCTGGTAATACAAATCATGGCCTTACTGTAGCACAGATAAACAATCACTCACTAGACCTTCACCATTTGAGAACAGTTTTTAACGTACAATAGGCCCAAACAATTTTTAACAACACTGCAACAGAGTTTAAACGCATTCCTTTTTTTTCCCTTTTGTTTTTTTAAACAACACAACACAGGATGTTAAAACTGGCATGCTCAAAATCAGCAGAGACCATTTTATATGTGTAGTCATTCTTATTAACTCATCGGCAACTTAGAAGAGGAAATCAAAATACATGGAGTCTGGTAAAGATCTGTTGCATTGTTGTGACGATCAATATTTCCAGTCATTTGACTCACGAGACCAGAACACATTTAGAAATAAAAACAAACACAAGCCCCTCTCAGAGATCCATAGACCATGTTTGCATGCCTTTTTGGTGTTGATTAATCCCTTGTGATGCCTTGAGGATTTGAAGATTAATTATAATTCACAAAACTGGCAAACGACATTAAGAACCTGAACATATTCTTACTCGTAGTTCAGTTTCAGTCAGTGCTGCGAAAGATGACGGAGAAGTCTTTAAAAGAGGGCATAGCTGAAATGTAAACACAGAAAAGGAAAGCTCCATCCTTCAGTCTATAGGCCTCTGCCATGCAAATATTTTCATTTTTCTTTTATGTATTCTTCTGAGGCAGACCAAAGATGGAACCTTAAAATTGTGCTGTTATCTGTTCTGGTCCCAAGTTTTGTCCATCCCTGCATCTCATGTGCTCTTTCCACACAATGCCGCGTCTTTGTGCAATATTTCTCTGATCTCCACCCGGAAAAAAGACATATCTATTTAATTTATTTGACTTTATTTATTTTTGCCGGATGCTTGAAATTCCACTGCATGTTTTGTTTTCTTTGCTGGGACGGAAATCCTGAATCGTGATAACATCCTTTGTCCTTCAGATTGCATGGTTGCTGTAGCTGATGTAGGTTTGCTTTGTTGAAAACGCTGAAAGAGACGAAATGAGAAGGAAGAGTCAGAGTTTAATACAGTTGAGGTAAAGTTTGTAACCTAAGAAAGGGAGCTGATTTGGGCATGAAGCTCTTTTTGTTTAGCGCTCTTCCTGTAGTAACAAGAGTAAGAAACTGCCACACAAGGCTGAAAAAATGTGTTTAGTTGCTGATTGGTTATGATATTACGGTCCTATTAAAAATTCCCTAGTTCTCAGGTCATGTTATTCCCCTCAGCATGTGCCAAATGTAACTATTACCTTTAGCTACCACCACCATTTTTTTCCCTCACAGCTATAGCTATCAGGAGTTAACTTTCCAGCTGTCTCCCCGGACCATGTTAGCTGATTCTCTGAGTGGGAGCAGATAAATCCTGACATATCGCCACTAGATCTCAGCATTGGGGGGAGCTGGCCCAGACAGGAATTTTTCAATTTCATCAAGCCATATATCCACACTGGCGATGACAATGACAAATGGCGCTCATTCAAATAGCCATACACTGTATAGCCCCTGTAAACGGTAACCCCATCAGGATAATTTGCTGCTGGCTATCAATTCAGCGTCTCTGCCTTCTCGACACTTATTTTAACAAAAGGCCCTTTTAACCATCCACACAAACATGAAGCAAGAATGGAATTAATGCTGCTCTGTTTGGATGCATGTAGTTTTTGTGACAGGCCTCACACCATTGTGCTATTGTTACTGCAGAGCATTGTGATAAGTTTTACATTGATTTCTGGTTTCGTGCTAACAGTAAATATATGTCAGCTATTTTATTCTCCTATGAAAGGAAACAGCTGTCAATACCTGTGGTTTTGACCACAGACTGATAAAAACCTTTTCCAGCTTAAGGCAAGAAGAGTGTTTTGAATGCCACTTGAGTAATTTCTGCTGACTCAATTGCTGAGGTCATTATTTACCTCACTAATATAAATCCACAGTGCATCACAGGAGTGCCAAGCATTGAGATTAGGAGGCATACACAGTGATTCAGCTGCTTTATAAAAGATAGTCACACCTTTCTTGTTTTTTTAATAATGTGTGCAAATGCTAGGCTTTGATTAGTGATTCAATAATTTATCTATTGAATATTATTTCAGTTTATATATAGTATGTCAGTAAATAGTAATGAATGCATATAGATTTCCCAGTCCGATGGCTTCATTTTACAGGATAGAGCAAGTAAATATTTGCATTATAATGAATTATAAGCAATGGTTGCATGACAAAAATCAACAGTTTAAGTCAGAGATAAACTGAAAATTATTAGAAACCCAGTTCCACACAAGAACTGGAACGCTATATAAAATATAAATAAAACAGGATTCAAACAGATAGAAATAGAAAAGACAAAGTTTACACTGAGACATTTTAATATTTGATGAATTAGCTCATTTTCCAATTAGTTGGCAGTAACATGTCTCAAAGTTTGAACAGGGATAACAAAATGTTAGAAAAGTGGTATTGCACTACAAAAACTACTGGAGGGATATTTTGCGATTGATTGGGTTAACTGGCAACAAGACAGTAACATGATTGGCTATAAAAAAGAGCACTTCAGAGAGATAGCCTTTCTCAGAAGTAAGGATGGGTAGACATTTATCAGTCTGCAAAAAGATCTACAAATGGTAAAACATTTTTCAGAATAATTAGTTTGTTATTCATTATTATACAGGGTGGGCCATTTATATGGATACACCGTAATAACATGGGAATGGTTGGTGATATTAAAGTCCTGTTTGTGGCACATTAGTATATGTGAGGGGGCAAACTCCTCAAGATGGGTGGTGACCATGGTGGCCATTTAGAAGTCGGCCATCTTGGATACAACTTTTGTTTTTTCAATAGGAAGAGGGCCATGTGACACATCAAACTTATTGGTAATGTCACAAGAAAAACAATGGTGTGCTTGGTTTCAACGTAACTTTATTCTTTACAAGTTTCTCTTTGTTCACAGCCATTGACATGTCGAAGAGGTTAACACGTGAGGAGCGGATCGAAATTGTGTTGATATCTGGTGAACGCAGTAACCGGGTCATTGCAGCAGATTTCAATGCAAGACACCCTACGAGACCACCCATCTCCCATGCTACAGTTAGCAAACTGCTTGCTAAGTTTCGTGAAGCTGGTTCAGTGTTGGATTTGCCAAAATGTGGACGCAAGAAAACTGTCACTAATGAAGAAACATCAGTGGCTGTCCTAGCTTCATTCAGCAAGAGCCCACAGCGTAGCACTCGCCGCATGTCACTGGAGAGTGGCATTAGTCGAACATCCCTTCGGCGGATATTAGCTACTCACAAATGGCACCCTTACAAACTCCAGCTACTGCAGCATCTCAACGAGGATGACCCAGATCGGCGCACAGAATTTGCAGAATGGGCAAAACAAAAATTGGAACAGGACCCTCAGTTCACGCAGAAGATTTTGTTCAGTGATGAGGCAAACTTTTATGTGAATGGTGAAGTTAACAAACAAAACCACCGCTATTGGTCTGACACTAACCCACATTGGATGGATCCCTCCAAGACTGTTGGAACAACAAAAGTGATGGTTTGGTGTGGTATATGGGGTACAACGATAGTGGGTCCATTCTTCATCAATGGAAACCTCAAGGCCACTGGATATTTGAAATTGCTACATGATGATGTGTTTCCCTCTTTATGCACTGAAGCTGGCACGTTCCCTGAGTTTTTCCAGCAAGATGGTGCACCACCACATTATGGGTGCCAGGTCCGAGCATTCCTAGATGAACAGTTTCCTGGAAAGTGGATTGGTCTCGTGGGCCAGTTGAATGGCCCCCAAGGTCTCCCGATCTGACCCCCTTAGACTTTTATCTTTGGGGTCATCTGAAGGCAATTGTCTATGGTGTGAAGATACGAGATGTGCAGCACCTGAAACTACGGATACTGGATGCCTGTGCTGGCATTTCTCCTGCGGTGTTGCTATCAGTGTGTGAAGAGTGGGAGAAGAGGGTTGCATTGACAATCCAACACAATGGGCAGCACATTGAACACATTTTATAAGTGGTCAGAAACTTGTAAATAACTCATGAAAGAATAAAGTTACGTTGAAACCAAGCACACCATTGTTTTTCTTGTGACATTACCAATAAGTTTGATGTGTCACATGGCCCTCTTCCTATTGAAAAAAACAAAAGTTGTATCCAAGATGGCCGACTTCTAAATGGCCACCATGGTCACCACCCATCTTGAGGAGTTTGCCCCCTCACATATACTAATGTGCCACAAACAGGACTTTAATATCACCAACCATTCCCATGTTATTACGGTGTATCCATATAAATGGCCCACCCTGTAGAATAATGGCTTTCAGAATAAAGACTTTGACTAACTCAACACCTATAATACATTTTAAATAATATCACAAAATGATTTTGAGAATCTGAATAAAGGGACAAAGGTCAGGTCTATGAACACAATTTGCTGTGCCATCCACAAATGAAGGTTAAAATTCTACAGTATGATGATTAGAAGAAACCATATGTGAAAATGATCCAGAAAAAACGTTGTCTTCTCTGGGCCACAGCTCATCTGGACTGAGGCAAAATGGAAAACTGTTCTATGATAAGATGAATAAAAAATATATAATAAAGAATTTCAAAAATGTAAAAACACGGACATAGACAAGAATGGAACAACATTCCTCTCCCAGAAGTGCAGCAACTGGTGTTCTTCAGTTCCCTCATATTTACAGACTGTTTTTAACAGAAGGGAATGCCACACAGTGGTAAACACAGCTCTGTCCTAACCTTTTTTGAGACTTGCATGCTTCTAACTGGGCTGCACAGTTTGCATTAGCAGTTATTGACTCCGTGTTGGTTTCATACTGCAATTTTGTAACAACATGATCAATACAATTTTTCCCAAAACATATTTAAAAGTGAAACAATCAAATTGTATCAAATTTTAAGATGTGGTAAAGTTGTCTTCATCTTTTTAGAGAAGGCCTAAAATTTAGGCGATTGGGCTTGAAGACTTTTTTAAGGACGTGTGTTACCCTCGCTTACTTGTTATTTTAGGAATAGTTTGACATTTTGGAAAACATTCACTTTAATAAAAAAAAGAAGAAGATTGATGCCAGTAATAAAATCATACCTCAATGTTTTACAGGCGTTTTAGTTCCATTGCTGGACTCCAGAATATGCTTTCTAATCCATTCCTTTGTGACTTCATTCTCACACACATAATTGTGATTCCTGTAATGCTTCTTGAAAAACAATTTCCACAGCCTCACCACCAAATGAATAACAGTGTCACATTTACTAGATTCAATGAAGTGTTAAATAACATGCTATACATTTGTTAATAAGTTTTGTTTTTTTTTCACACTGCATCCTATCATTGCATCAATTTGTTTTACAGACACGGAAGGACAAAACATTCCTGAACTTAAGCCAGCAGGTTTCTAGTCAAAGCTTTCCTCATTTGCATTTTTGCTCTTACACTGTGTTTCGAGGCTTTCGCACAGCTCGGTCTTGGCTTCTCCGTTGGGTCTGAGTCCAGCCTTGGGGTTGAACTTGTTGGACATGGTGGCAGCAGTAACCACAGCCTTGAGGGTCCGTGTGCGCTTAGGCACATTCTGCTCAGGGTGGAAAAGAACCACATAGACCTTGGGCATGTAGAGCAACCCGAGGGACACTGAAGCACTCAGGCTCACAGAGATCGTCAGTGTGGTTGTTTGGATGTACATCTGCAAGAGGCAAAAACCAAAGATGAATGATACAAACAGTTTAACACTGTTTTGCATTACCGATTTTTCTGTGTGGGCAGTGGCATGTATAGTACAAGAGACATCTGCTGTGCATCATTATAATTAGAGTATTCAATGACCCATGTGTTGGTCAAGGAGTTTTTAAATGAGTATCTACTTTGTCCAGTAGAAGCTGCAAAGCTATCTAATGAAAATGATGTGTTAAACTTGTTTTAAATCAGCATCCTATCTGCTTTTATGGTGTATGTGTGCTGAGCCAGCCAGGGCCACAGTGTTTACTTAATTTTCTGCCATTCTAGTTTTAATATGACTATCACGTCCACCCTGAACACAGATTGGATCTTTTTCTGACTCATAATAAGCAGGCCCATAAAAAAAGAAACAAGCTCATGAAAATTTTACACATGGTCAAATCCTCCAAATTATGGGGGAGGGCAACAGAGTACCATCCTCATTCATTCCATTTAATTGTTTGCAGAACTGCAGCAAATTAATGAGTCATCTTTAAAGATGCAATAAGGTAGAAGAAAAGCTTATGCAATTTCTAAACATCATACTGTTGTGACTGATTGAGGAATGAGTTTACAATTGGCTAATACTGGGATACACACACACACTCTATCTATCTATAATTGATGGATCGAGATAGATAGATATAGAGGTATATAGAGAAAGGTATATAGAGCGAGATATAGACAAAATATATAAAATTTAATTTTTACATATATATAAAATTGAAAGTTCTTGAGTTTTGTTTGGATAGAAATTAAATTGTGCTTGCTGTAATTTACTACACCTGTGTAACACACAGCAAGAATCTAATTATGATCATTTACCTGGTGTAACTACATAAACGTATGAATACTGTCAATAATAATAATAATAATAATAATAATAATAATAACAATAATAATGAGAGATTTTGTTGTTCCTTCAAATCCACCAAAATTGTTGCTAATGCATCAAAATTGATGGTGAGGCTTAAAATAATGTAATGGGTTATAACCTGCTGTGGGTGTAAGATTTAATATATTTACTCGGAGGATGACAGGTGCGAGTAGTAACAACAACAACAAGAAAGACTGAAACGAGAGCAGGTTTTTCATTCTTTGGTTACCATAATCACTGATTTACAAAGATAATTAAACCACAGTCGACTACAGTATTCAAATGAACACACATTTCCAACAAATCAGAATCTGTTATTTCTTGCAGGAACGATATTCGAATCACACGATAAATCCTCTCATGCATAGATTTTTACTCACTAGTATTTTATATGTTGGTACTTTAAGAGTCAATCTTTCAAGTCAAGTTTTTCCTCATCAGGTCTCTGCTATTTTCTGATTCAACAAAAGTAACAGCTTCTCATACGTGACCTCTATTTTAATATGTTGTGTGTTTTTATTATTTTGACTCTCCACAGTGCTTTCCCTATATACTCAGCCAACCCTCTTTCCATGTGAGACTGCTGGCTGAAGAGAAGAAGGAAGAATGGAGTCAGTATTATAGAGAGACAGCTGCAGCGCTCCCCTCCCAGCTGTGGGGAGTATTAACCAGTGAACTGCTCAGGGCTTGGTTCACTGCTGCCTCAGGGACGGACTGTTGAACCCAAGCTGTTCATCACATAAACAGAACATAAAAGTGTTCTGCTGCTTTTCACCCAGGAATAATATCATCTTAAAATCCATCCTCTTGGTCACTGATTATATACCGGCACAGAATAAATAAGAACAGTAAAATGACTTTAAATCTGAGAACATTTAAAGTCTGTGTCAGAATAACATTTTTTTTTAAATTGAAAATTATATTCTCAATCATTTCAGTTTTGGTCTGTAAAATTAAGGCAATAAGGAACAAAAGACACTTAAATTATCTTTGATGTCCATACTAAAAGAAGTCAATTATCCTATGTCAGAGCTATAAAAACTTGCTTTATTTGTGGCTCAACTTATCAACTTATCAACGCAGTTCCAATAATAACTACTATGATTATGTAACTGCACCATATCTCACTGTAAATTAGGTCACGTTGAAGAACAAATATTGTTATTATCATTTAATCTAATGTAACCTTAGGTAAGGTTATTTTAAATTTTGAATATTATGTCAGCAGTGATATAAATCAGGACAATCAGTAAGCTGTCACATTGTAGAGGCTAAGAATAGAATATAAGTGGATTTAATGCCAAATACTACAGTGTGCAAGAATAATAGTTTAATTTATATTTTACATTTAATGGTGGTGATAATATACATTGGCCACTTAATTAGGTACAACTGTTCAGCTGCTCGTTAACACAAATATCTAATTAGCCAAACAGCAGCAACTCAAGGCAAGGTATGTAGAGATGATCAAGATGACCTACTTAAGTTTAAATGGAGTAATGTTTGTATTTTTGTAGGGTCTCTACAATAATACTGCTGTTGTGAATTGGTGCTATATAAATAAAATTGAACAGAATGAGGAAGAAAGGTGATTTGAAGGACAGCTAGTCAGCTAAGAACAGGGAAGTGAGGCTACAGTTTCTAAAATTAGACAATACACGATTGCAGAAATGTTCCCTGGTTTTAAGAGTCTTGACTTCTACAGCAAAACATTCAGGTGGTAGCGTCAGAATTTGACATAAACATGGCTCCATTCTGTCTTATTACAACAGCTCAGTCTGGTGGTTGTGCAATGGCATGGGGAATATTTTTTTGTCATGCTTTGGGCTTCTTAGTACCAAGTTAGCAATACATCACAGCTCTGCCCGAGTATTTTTGCTGACCATGTCTATCCCTTTATGACCAAAGTGTACCCATCTTGTGATAGTTGCTTCCAGCAGCATAACAAACCATGTCATAAAGCTGAAATCATCTCAAATTGGTTTCTTGAACATGACAATGAGTTCCCTGTACTCCAGAGGCCTCCATGGTCACCAATCAATCTCAGAGCACCATTGGTATGTGGTGGAACAGCAGAGTTACAGCATGGATGTGCAGCTAACAAATCTTCAGTAACTGAGTATCTTTTCAATATGGACCAAAATCCAAGAGGAATGTTTCCAGCACCTTGGTACATCTGTGGCAAGAATAACTGAGGCACTTGAAGACAAAAGCAGTCCAACCCAGGACTAACATGTGTACCTAATGAAGTGACTAGTTAGTGCATGAACTGTTTTCTTTTTTAAAATAAACAATTATTTGATAATTTTACATTTTGAATCAATTGTAACAGCATTATAGACAAAGTGATAGATTTTATAGTAACTGGTACCTTCTTATAGATGAACAATGGAAAAACAAATCAGCACATTTTATAAACTAATCTCAGTCCTGCCTGTTTGTTGGTCTATGTTATAATAATATGTATATAATGTAATATGTTAGATGAAAGGAAATTATTGCCTTGACTTTACTTGAAATCAATATATTATTGTTTGGTATTTCATCAGATAACATGTGCCATGAGAAAAGAAACTTTCATCCCCTCTCTATTGCCTCATTGATGTTAGCTTACAAATGGAGTCCTGTTTTCAATGTCAGAGCACGTCCAATATTCAGTCCATTAATTTGTTTCCTCCTGATTGAAATGCACCTGAGCATTCAATGACTGGAGCAACTTGGAAGAGAAATGAAGAGAGATACCATATATCTCACACACATATCATCACACTGCCATTAGCGTAGCTTGCCTTAGGCAAAACATAACATAGAAGAAGTACTCATAGTCGCATTAATGACTGAACTAGATGGAAAGAAATCATGGAGCTATCAGTACCTGGAGGATCAGTGATGGGAAGAGTCCTGGAAATATTTACTCAAGTAAAAATGTACTTGTGTACAACAGTACTCCAATAAAATGTAGGTGAAATAATGGTATTATTAGTAAACATGGCTGTATTACACAAAAGAGGAAGCTGAAGAGCAAGGGTCACCTCCAGAATTTTTTTAATAGGTGTGGTCATATGGGGGCCAGTAAAAATATTGGCTGGGGAAATTGTGGGGGACATACAAAGTAACACAATGGGTCTCACTGGGGGCCCAGCAAATTGTTGTGGTAAAGAAAAGTAAAGAAAATTTGTTATATGGTGATAATAAGTCCAGTGAGCCCCACCCAGCCTAAAGCAAGTAAATGTAGAGATAAAGCTCATAAACTGACATTTTAAATCAAAAAAGGAAGCTGCAAAATGTTTACGCACAGTGTAATGCACTCACACAAATACTATATGAAACTGAATACACTGCTTCGTGTAACAGCAGTTAGGCTGCCGTTGTATCTGCTGAATTTGCTCTTTAGTCTCAGATCCTCTGTTCCTCTAAAAAAAAGGAGGAAAAAAAATCATAACAGAAATGATAAGGTCATATTTAAATGTGGATTTCCTGTTTACTCCTACACAGCTCAACTTCTGTCAAGCCAGAGAACAAGCAAATGCAGCATTAACTGAGCAACAATGGTAATGCATCCTAAATAAGCAAACGTAGCAAGCCAAAGTTTGTTAGATCGCCAGGCTAACACAAACTTAAAACATTAACAATCTGCTATACCCGTGACCTTTGAACTGAAGTCGTTACAGTTAATTAACATACAATACTTTTGCAGAAGAGGTAGTATGTAGAGTTTTTGTAAGAGAGGGCCTCTACATGGTTGTGAAAACACTGCATAATGAAGCTGTGTTGCCTTGGGCGTGAAGATGTATTAGACCATTAGATTTTTGTTTTTTTGTTGGTAACTCTGCAATTGATTTTCACATAAAAAATACACATGAGGTTAACCAATAACGATAATCTACTTTCTTACAGTAATCATAGGAATTGTATTTCATTATTTTCATTCCAGCAGAAGTGATAAAACAATTCCACACCCTGGCCTACGGTGAGTAGAGCAAAACTGAGTAAAAACATCTGTGATAACTCATAACATTAATTTGACAGCTAATAAACGTGAACAGACTGCATTTTCAATTCAACCCAAGAGAGTCTCTGAGGCAGGATGC